GGGTTCAAACTCACCATTCCCAGTATATGGGGCCAGTGCCCTACTCCTTGAGCCACAGGCGCTGCCCCCAATTTTTTTTGAGACAGTCTTATTCTATTGCCCCAGGCTAGATTGCCAAGACATCACAGCTCACAGCAACCTCAAATTTCTGGGCTCAAGTGATTCTCTTGCCTCAACCTCCCCAGTAGCTGGAACTACAGGTGCCTGCCACAATGCCCAGCTAAATTTTCTATTTTTAGTAGAGATGGGGTCTTACTCTTGCTCAGGTTGGTCTTGAACTCCTGAGCTCAAGGGATCCATCCACCTTGGCCTCCCAGAGAGGTAGGATTACAGGAGTGAGCTACCCTGCCCAACTAGAAATTTTTTTTTTTTTTGAGACAGAGTCTCAAGTTGTCACCCTAGATAGAGTGCCATGGCATCACAGCTCACAGCAACCTCAAATTCCTGGGCTATTCTCTTGCCTCCCAAGTAGCTGAGACTACAGGCACCTGCCACAATGCCCGGCTATTTTTTGGTTATAGTTGTCATCGTTGTTTGGAGGGCTGGATTCAAACCTGCCAGCTCTGGTGTATGTGGCTGGCCCCTTAGCCGTTTGAGCTATAAGCACTAAGGCAGAATTTTTTATTTTTCTTTTAGAGACAAGGTCTTACTTTTTTACTCCCACAGCTCACAGCAACCTTAATTGGGCTTAAGTGATTCTCTTGCCTCAGCCTCCCGAGTAGTTCGGATTATAGGCACCCGCCATAACGCCTGGCTATTTTTTTGTTGCAGTTTGGCTAGAGCCGGGTTCGAACCCACCACCCTCCATATATAGAGCTGGTGCCCTACTCACTGAGCCACAGGCACCACCCCAGAAATGTTTTTATTATTATTAATATATCTTGATGGTACTTCCCCATCAATACCTAAGGAACACTCTTATATTCTAAATTTTCTCTATTGAGCTATACACATTTATATTAATCTGCACACATACACACACACAGATGTATCTGTTATAGCTGTGCAGGATTCTGATGTGAATATAGTCACAGTTTAGATCACCAGTTCCCTACTGACTAATATTGAATTTCCAAACCTTGGCAATATAACTAAGGCTTCAGTGATTAACCCTGTACCATCTCCTTTTCACTCAGCTGCAGAAATATATACACGATAAATTCCTAGAATAACAGTGGCTGTGGCAGGGGGGAGTAGCTCATGCCTGTAATCCTAGCATTCTAGGAGGCTGAGGTGGGTGGATCACTTGAGCTCAGGAGTTCAAGACCAGCCTGAGCCAGAGGGAGACTCCCATCTCTAAAAATGGCCAGGTGTCGTGGTGGGTGCCTGTAGTCCTAGCTATTCAGGAGGCTGTGGGAGAAGCAAAACCAGTTGAGCCCAAGAATTTGAGGTTGCTGTGAGCTATGACACCACTGGCACTCTACTTCACCCGGGACAGGACCTTTGTGAGGTCCTGCAATAAAGTGAGACCCTGCTTCAAGAAAGAAAAAAAAAAAAGAGTGGCTGGGCCTAAGAGTAATGACGATAATAGTAATAACACTAATAATACCAGCAGCTCCCTCATCTCTACCACTAAGTACTTGTACCATGTAAGAGGCCCTTGGCATGTATAATTAACTAACTTAGTCCCCACCACGACCCCTTGTGGCTTGTTATTATTATTATTATTATTTTTAGAGACATAGTCTCACTTTATTGCCCTCGGTAGAGTGCTGTAGCATCACAGCTCACAGCAACTCCAACTCCTGAGCTTAGGCGATTCTCTTGCCCCAGCCTAGGGAGTAGCTGGGACTACAGGTGCCCGCCACAACGCCCAGCTATTTTTTTTGTTGCAGTTTGGCCAGGGCTGGGTTTGAACCTGACACCCTCAGTATATGGTGCCGGCGCCCTACTTATTGAGCCACAGGCACTGCCCAATAGCTGGTTATTATTGTCATCCCATTTAGTAGAAGAGAAAACTGGGGCACACAGAGACTAAGTAACCTGCCTGAGGCTGCACAGCTAGTAAATGGCAGAAGCAAATTCAAACCCAGGCACACTGATTCTTACATCCTCCCTTGTGAACCAGGAGGCTACCATCCCTTTATGAGCAATAACCATTTTGCTAGATAAGGCCAAATTGCCAGAATAAGGCCTTTCCTTGGATGCTCCTTTGAACCTTTTAGATCCAGAGTGAGGTGATAGTGTTACCCGGCCCAACAATAGCAACAGCAATAATAATAACCACCATCAAATATATGAATAAATCCATGGGCATAAATCTTGGGTGTGGGCTAAGTCCCAGCCTCAGATGCCTCGGGCCCCACCTCGATGGAGGGCAGCGTCTTGCTGGCCTCCGTGCTGCTCTCCCCAAGGATGCTGCCTGCCGAGCGGCCCTCGCACTCGTAGCGGAAGCGCATGCCGCGCTGCTTGGGCTGCTCAGTGATGACCAGGTGCGGCCGTGGGCCCGGGCCCGGGTTCGGGGGAACCAGCCGGCCCAGGGAGCATGCCCAGGGTGGCGGCGTGGCCGGGGGCGGGGGCGCTGCGGGGCCCAGGGTGACTGTGCTCAGGGAGGCCGCCCCACGGGATACCAAGCGGGGCAGCCCCTCGCCCTGGCCTGGCTGTGCCCTCTCCGGGTCGAAGCCATTCTCTTTGATGTACTCGTCGATGATCTCTGTGGGAGAAACAGAATCACAGGGTGACTTGGGTTACCCTTAAGACCTTTTCCATCCCACTAATTTCTTCAAGGTTTATTTCTAGCGGGCGGGGCGCAGTGGGGGCCTCAGCTCCGACCATAACAAAGGTCCTGTCCCGGGTGAAGGGAGAGGGATTGATGTGCTCCCACTTAATGGGCACAATGAGGGGCGGTAATGTGGCACACCTCCTGGGGGCGGGACACAACAGAACAAGGACTATACCTCACAAATACAAACACTGCAACCTAATTCTTTGTACCCTCAAATTAACTTGAAATTAAAAAAATACAAATAAAGCCCCCGTCTTTATTTTGGCCAACAGCCGCAGTAGCCCCCAGTTGCTAAAACCGGGGGTCTGCCCAGTTCCTTCTTTTCCTTAGCCCCCCACTTCCACCTAATACTCCTGAACTCACCCATTCCCACATCTCTCACCTGGACAAAGATAAGGGCCACCTAACAGGTCCCCCTGTCTGTATCTCGCAGGGTTAACAAGAATAATAGCTGCTCTGGCCCAGCTGTCCTCATGTCAGAAAGCAGCACTGCCAGCCACCAAGCTGGACTTTGTTGCCCTGGGTAGAGTGCCATGGTGACATTGCTCACAGCAACCTCAAACTCCTGGGCTTAAGTGATCCTCTTGCTTCATTCAGTCTCCCAAGTAGCTGAGACTACAGGTGCCAACCACAACACCCAGCTATCTTTAGAGGCAGGGTCTCATTCTGGCTCTGGCTGGTCTTGAAATCATAAGCTCAGGCAATCCACCCACCTCAGCCTCCCAGAGTGCTCAGATTACAGGTGTGAGCCACCACGCGCCCCACTGGGCCTGCAAGGGTCTTTTTAAATTACTCATGATCCTATATCTGTTATGTCCAATCCATGAAGTTTTTCTGCCACTGTGCCTCTACTTCAAAAATATATTTACTTTCCCACTACTTTCCACCCCCATGGCAGCCATCCTGGTCCAGCCTTCATAATCTCCCATCTGAACAATGTCTCCCTGTGACCACCCAATGGCCCCACTCAGTCTGTTCCTCACATGCAGCCAGAGGGATTTTGTTAGGTCTGAGCTTGTCTCTACTCTGCCCAGAAGCCTCCCATGGTTCCCATCTCCCTTAGAGTCAAAGTCAATACCTACACCACACTAAAACCTTCTAAAACCTCCATTCATCCCCAAAACCAAAACCTAATCAAACCTCACAACCCCTCACCTTGGCCAGGAGCCTTGTGGGAAAAGGCACCTACTGCCCTGGGCTTCACCAGCCCCACACCCATCTCTCACTCTGCTCTAGCCTCTCTCTGTCTCTTGCATCCACCAACCCTGGTCGTCTTCAGGGCCTTAAACTTGATCCTCTAACTGCCTTTTCCTCACCTTTCCCCATTCAACCTGTGATGACTTCTTCCTATCCATCTGGACCCAACTCAAATGTCACCTCTTCAGAAAGGGCCCCCCCATGCGTCCTCCCCGGGCCATCTCTCCCTCTTCCTGTTTATTTCCTTAACAGCCCTTAGCAATCTAACATTATCTCATTCATTTACTCATTTTCCTCTGTCCCCCCTCCTCAATTATCAACTCCATGAGGGTAGGGACTTTGTTTTGTTCATAACTGTATCCCCAGTGCCCAACACAGTGCCTAGCATGCAGTAGAAGCTCAGTAACCTGCACAGAATGAATGGACAATGATAGCAAGAATAATAATAACACCAGAGGCAGCAAACATACGCTGAGTGTTTTCCAAGTGTCAAGCACTGCTAAGCACCTTGGGAGCAACTTCATTCAAATCCCCCTACAAGTCCTGGAAGTCAGACCATGACATCCCCTCCCCCACGGAACAAGGAAGGCCAAGACCCCCCCTCTGTGAGCTCTTGGACCCCTTGGCCTCCCCGCAAACCTGCCTCGTGGTACTCACCCAGTTCATCTGTGGAAGGAAGAGAAAGAGAAAGGTGAGGTCCAGAATGAGGTCAAGACTTTTCATCCTTGAAAAGATTCCCCAATGCTATGACCCTTACCCCTTCCTCCATCCTAGGAAACCCTAGGCTCTGACTCATTGGGATGCCAACCCCAACCCACATCATCCCTTCCCTTCAGCTCCTAATGTTGGGGTCCCAGCATCAGGGTATGCTCAAACTAAGCCAAATGCTTCCCAAAAATCATTTAGAACAGGGATTATGAAGTCTTTTTGGTAATCTGTGGGAAAGCAAAGTGTTTTATCACTAGATTCTAATAAATTGTGGGGGTATTCCCTTGCTAAAGGCCACACTAGCCTCCTGGTGGTCACTGGCAGGTGTCTGAAGATCCAGTGAGGCTGATCTGAATCCTACCAACCACCTCTTGTGCATCTTGGTCCAGTCCCCCAGCAGCGCCCACCCGAAATCTTAATCATCTCTGCTTCCTAAGGGAGGCCCCTCTTTACCTCCCTAGTAAAGCTCAGCCCAGAAAGGGGCCATGAGGAATCACAATCAACCTCCTATCATCCAACAGACAGGATGAAGGGTAGGCCTGAGGCAGCAAGCCTCGGGATCCCACAGAAGAGGGGGCAGGCCAAAGCCAGATGCCCCACGCAGACCACTGGCTAGGGATTTATCCACGTAGACCTGCCTGGCTGCTAGAACTGTCTTCCTCCTGTGTTTTCAGGGAGTGGCTTCTGGCAGCCAGACCTTTGCCCCTTGTGAGGCAGTTTTCTTGCACCCTTTATCTCATGTGGTTTATGAAGTGGATATGGTGCCAGGGTCCTCACTTGGCAGATAGGAATACCAAGGCTAGGATAAAGAAAAGGATGTGCCCTAGGTCACTTGTAGGGCCAACGTCAAGTCACCTCAATGTGGAAAATCCTTTATAAGCATCCATGCTGGATGAACCTGAGGACCCAAAGATAAATTAGACTTTGTCCCGGGCTGTCAGGAAGCTTCTAGAATGCAGGGGGAGACTGAGTCCCAGGTGGCAGTAGCTAAAGCTTTGGACTGATGGCCTCAGTTCAAATCCTGGCTCTGCTACTTGCTAGCTGAGTGGATTTGAGCCCATTACTTAACCTCTTTGTACCGTGGTCCCTTCATCAATAAAATAGGCACTATTTTAATAATCCATACCTCATTGGGCTTATATTAATTTACTTTTACTCATTTTAATTTTTAAACATTAAGACCCAGTTCTCTCTCTGTCATCCAGGCTGGAGTACAGCAACGTGATCACAGGTCACTGTAACCCTGAACTCCCAGGCTCAAGTGATTCTGCTGCCTCAGCTTCCCAAGTAGCGAGGGGACTACAGGCATGGGCCATCATGCCTGGGTCTTGCTATGTTGCCCAGACTGATCTCAAACTCGTGGCCTCAAGCAATTGTTCTTCCTGGGCTTCCCAAAGTACTTGGATTACAGGGGTAAACTACTGCCCCGGGCCAGGCTTAAATAATTTAAATAATACATAGGAAGCACTTAAAACTGCTTCACAGTAAGTGTTACACAAATACTGGCTGCTATTGGACAAGATGTTGGAAGCCATTGTTTTATAGACTTGAATAAATCCCTTCTTCTCTCGAAGTCTTCATTTGTCTGTCTGTAAAATGGGGAAGTTGGAAAGCATGGTTTTAGAGCATGGACGTAGAGTCACACATTCATTCATTGGAGATGTGGCCTTGGGCAAGTCACTTAACCTCTCTGAGCCTCCGCTACAAATGAGATTTGAGCTCCTACCTCATGTGCTAACATGAGTATTAAGGATCACACAGGTAAACTGCTTAGCACAGGATCTGGCCACTCTGTATCTTCCTTATAGCTTTGATAATTTTTTTTTTTGAGATACAGTCTCAGGCTATCTCCCTAGGTAGAGTGCTGTGGCATCATAGCTCACAGCAACCTGGAGGCTGGGCTCAAATGATCATTTTCACCTCCCTAGGCTCAAATGATCCTCTTGCCTCAGTTTTTCTATTTTTAGTAGAAACAGGGTCTTGCTTTTGCTCAGGCTGGTCTCGAACTCATGAGCTCAAGCAATCCACCTGGCCTCCCAGAGTGCTAGGATTACAGGTGTAATCCTAATTACAGGCGTAATTACACTGCACCCAGCCTACATAGGTAATATATTTATTTATTTATTTATTTTATTTTTTATTTTTTGAGATAGAGTCTCAAGCTGTCACCCTGGGTAGAGTGCTGTGGCATCACAGCTCACAGCAGCCTCTAACTCCTGGGCTCAAGTGAGTCTCCTGCCTCTGCCTCCCAAGTGGCTGAGACTACAGGTGCCTGCCACAATGCCCATCTATTTTGGTTGCAGCCATCATTGTTGTTTGGCGGGACCGGGCTAGATTTGAACCCACCCACTCAGGTGTATGTGGCTGGCAACTTAGCTGCTTGAGCCATAGGCACGTCCCTATTTATTTATTTTAGAGACCGAGTCTCACTTTATCGCCCTTGGTAGAGTGCCGTAGTGTCACAGCTCACAGCAACTTCCAACTCCTGGGCTTAGGCAATTCTCTTGCCTCAGCCTCCAGAGTAGCTGGGACTACAGGTGCCCACCACAACGACCAGCTATTTTTTTGTTGCAGTTTGGCCAGGGATGGGTTTAAACCCTCCACCCTCGGTATATGGGGCCAGTGCCCTATCTACTAAGCAACAGGCACCGCCTAGTAATATTTTTATTATCTGAAGTTCTCTTTCTTTCTTTTTTTTTTTTTTAGAGACAGAGTTTCACTTTGTCACCCTCGGTAGAGTGCCATGACATCACAGCTCACAGCAACCTCCAGCTCTTGGGCTTAGGCGATTCTCTTGCCTCAGCTTCCCGAGTAGCTGGGACTACCCGCACTACAATGCCCGGCTATTTTTCTGTGGCAGTTTGGCCGGGGCTGGGTTTGTAACCACCACCTTCGATATATGGGGCCGGCCCCCTACTCACTGAGCCATAGGCACGGTCCCCTAAAGATCTCTTTCAGCCAAAAGGTATTAGGAACTTCCTTTCTTTATTCAAGGCTCTTTTCTTTTTTTTTTTTTTTTTTTTTTTTTTTTTTTTTGAGACAGAGCCTCAAACTATCCCCCCTGGGTAGAGTGCCATGGCATCACAGCTCACAGCAACCTTCAACTCCTGGGCTCAAGCGAGTCTCCTGCCTCAGCCTCCCAAGTAGCTGGGACTACAGGCACCTGCCACAATGCCCGGCCATTTTTTGGTTGCAGCCATCATTGTTGTTTGGCGGGCCCAGGCTGGGGATTCGAACCTGCCACCTTAGGTGTATGTGGCTGGCGCCTTAGCTGCTTGAGCCACAGGCGCCGAGCCTCAAGGCTCTTTTCAAATGACATCCCCCCAACCTTCTGCACAGGTTTGCCACCAATTTGGGGCAGCCAGGATGGGCCATTTGGGAGCATGTGAGAGCAGAAAAACTACCTATGTATGTGCTTCTTCGGGGTCTTTGCATGATCTGGTCTCTGCCTAATGCTCTTCACCCAGTTCTTTGCATGGCTTTCTCCTCCTCCTCCCTTCCTGGTCAAATATCATGTCCTGGACAGATCTTCTCTGACTACTTGATCCAGGATAGTTCCCAGGACACCTATTCTACTTACTTGAAGTTAGGTCCCTTTGTTTTATACTTTTCATGTCACTGATTAGAATCTGACAAGACCTCACACTGTGTTGATTCATACCTATCTCTTCCTATAGTCTGAAAACACTAAAGATTGATGAGTATGGCTGTCCATCCTCATTGTATCCCCGGTGCCCAGCATGTGTCTGGCCCGTCAAAAAGTGGGATATTTTCCCTACCACTCTATTTCACTAGTTCTCCCATCTTGGTGTTAAATATTATTGACCCCAATATTTCTTCATAGCCCTTATCACCTTTTATACTTTTTTTAAATTTTGAGACAGAGTCTTACTTTGTCACCTTGGTAGAGTGCCATGGCATTGTAGCTCATAGCAACCTCTAACTCTTGGGCTCGAGTGATTCTCTTGCCTCAGCCTCCCAAGTAGCTGGGACTATAGGAGTCCACCAAAACGCCTGGCTATTTTTTGTTGTAGTTGTCACTGTTGCTTAGCAGGCCCGGGCCAAGTTCAAACCTGCCACCTTAGGTTTATGTGGCCAGTACCCTCCCGCATGAGCTATGGGTGCTGCCTATTATTATAATTATTTTGTGAGACAGTCTCACCATGTTGCCCTTGGTAGCGTGCTGTGGCATCACAGCTCACAGCAACCTCAAACTCTTGGGCTTATGCAATTCTCTTGCCTCAGCCTCCCAAGTAGCTGGGACTACAGACACCTGGCTATTTTTTTCATTGCAGTTGTCATTGTTGTTTTAGCTGGCCAGGGCTGGGTTTGAACTTCGGTGTATGTGGCTGGCATCTACTCACTGAGCTATAGGTGCCACCAACCCAGTTATTTCTTTCTTTTTTTTTTTTTTTTGAGACAGAGCCTCAAGCTGTTGCTCCAGGTAGAGTGTCATGGCATCACAGCTCATAGCAACCTCCAACTCCTGGGCTTAAGCGATTCTCTTGCCTCAGCCTCCCAAGTAGCTGGGACAACAGGTGCCTACCACAATGCCTGGACATTTTTTGGTTGTCATTGTCATTGTTGTTTGGCAGGCCCAGGCTGGATTCAAACCTGCCAGCTCTGGTGTATGTGGCTGTTACCTTAGCTGCTTGAGCTACAGGCACTGAGCCAACCCAGCTATTTTTAGAGACAAGTTCTCGCTCTGGCTCAGGCTGGTCTTAAACTCGTGAGCTCAGGCAATCCACCACCTTAGCCTCCCAGAGTGCTAGGATTACAGGCGTGAGCCACAGTGCCTGACCTACCTTTTATATTTTCAAATTTTATTTATTGTTTATATGTCTGCCTCCCTATCTAGGTAGGGAATCCCATGAGACAGGGCCAGGGCTGTCCTCAGCACTGCCCAGCATAGAGTCACTACAGAATAGGTGCTCACTAAACATTTATTGAATGGATGATGTCAGAAATTACTCACTTAAAACTAAACAGCAAGGTCTCAGGCCAGAAAAGTCTCAGCCTTGTTCCTGCTTAGAACCAGCACTTGGGCAATACCTGTCCCCAATGCTAACCCCCACCTTTTCACTAACCCCTAAATTTTCAAATCTGTTGAGGAACCTGCAGCACCTTCTCCATGGCCAACCCAGCATTTCTGGGACCTGTTCCAAGAGTCTACCTCTAGAGCAAGGCCCAGACCCAGCTAAATAGATTCACTGAGTACTCAGAATGATAGGACTCTGCCCCTGCCCTCCAAATTCCAGCAAATTTATAAGAAAGAAGGTCATAATTTGGCCAAGACATTGCATTTCCTTAGGCAGCATTAAATTTTGGCTGCGACATCTTATAGATTAGTAGTTCTCAGCATCTTTTGGAAACTTACTGAAAATATAAAATCTTAGGGTCGAATCTAAACCTACTGAATCAGAAACTGTAGCGGTAGGACCTAAAAAATCTGTTCTAACAAGCTCTCTGGGAGTTATTCGTATGCACATAGTTTAGGAAAGAATCACCATTATAGGCTAATAATAATTATTATAATTATTGTTATTTACCACTAACAGGTAACTTTATGAGCCTTTACTGTGGGCCAGACACTGCTTTGAAAGTTTACCTATATCAACTCATTGAATTCTCTCAATCCCCCGAAAGAGAGACACTGATATTATGCTCATTTTACAGATGAGGAAAACTGAGGCTCAATTGGGGAAGTGACTTGCAGACATTCACACAGTAGGGCAGGGTGGCAGCAGCATATAAACCAAAACCAAAGCAAGCAGGATGGTACTCATTACCCTCTGCCACACTATGGTGAATCTCACCTGGCACGAGCAGGTGGTTAGTTTTACCAGTCAATTTCCTAAGCACTCAGGAGGTAGGGACACCTACCATCCATCTTCTAGAGGAACCATCCATCCAACAGGCAAGGAGGGACACAGCCCATCAGGGGAAAGCTGAGGTGGACCTCAATGAACCCTCCCCCAGACAGAGGCATGCCCATGCCCTCTCCACAAGGCCCCCTAACTCCTTTCTGCACTTCCACGTGGGCAGGGACCTTGGAGGGCTGCTCACCCGTGGTCCTGGAAACAGCCAGCGAGAGCGAAGAGAGGTCAGTGGACCCTGCAGAGAGGAAGGTACGTCTTAGGAGGTGACACGGGGCAGACCGGACCAGAGAATCTCCCAAGCCCGGCTATTTGCTTTGAAATAGAATCCCCTTTGGGCTCGGCGCCTATAGCTCAACCGGCTAAGGCGCCAGCCACGTACACCTAAGGTGGCGGGT